TGCTACCAGAGCACTGGTGAGCCAGAACAGGCTTCTATTCCTGCTTTAGGTAGGGATGAGAACATAAGGGTGGAAGAGAGAAGGGTGCGAGAGTTTAATGATTGTGACTGGGTAGTGAACTGAGAGGTGAAAATGGAGGCTGGGGGCTGGGTGGTGAAATGAAGGAAGTCACCCCCTGAAGGATAATTTTAAAAGAAGTTAAAAAAATTCTAAAAAGAAATAAAGAGTAAGTAAATTAAAGAAAGTCTCCGGTTTTAATAAAATCGGATTGGGTAGCCTATTTCCTACAAAGTTGTTCCCTACAGTCTCCATTCTTCACCTCACCATCTTGTGAACTTCACCTACCTTGCTTTCCAATCACATCAGTTCTTAATTTTAATCTCCATTCCTCCTATCTTTATTCAGATTCATTTTGTCCCAACCCTAGTTCATTGTTTCTAGTCTCTTTGCTCATCCAATCCCAGTTCAGTCCTTACATTTCAGCTCCTAGTTAGATCCATTAAGATTCTTCTCCCACCCTACTGTGCTATTCCTTGGTCCTAGTCTCCTTGTACAGCCAAACTCAGTTTTATTCTGAAGTCATTTGATTTTATTTCCCCCCCTACCTATTAGATCAGCGATCCATCCAGAGGTGGATCCAGGTGGAGTGCAGTGGTACAGTTGCACCCTCCCCTCCCCCATTGATTCCTGCTCCACTCAAACTTTAACACCACCTGTCTGGGAGGGGTAGTGGCATTTCTATTCAGGCAGCACTGAGAGAGTCTATTGACTACATGACTTGTTATAATCTACCTGATTCCTGCTAATGTCTAATGCCTCTTCATTCCATAGGTGTTAATGACTCTCTCTCCATTTTAATAGTCTTGTTGTTCCACTTTTCAAACTATCTTCTATAGCTGTCCTACGCCTTAGTCATTCCTTGTAATGTTTCCCTTCTGTTTCACATCCCTGCAGATTCTTTTTAGATCTAGCTAAAACTCTAACTCAGGTGTAGAAATGACTGACAGTGATGTATTGAAAGCATCAAGACTCTCAGAAAGGCTAGATTTTGTTTTATGAATTTGAATAAGATATATATTTAAATATAATGACTACAGAACTAATGGAGCAACATATTTTGACCATTTTTCTTGTTTCTCATGTGACTATATAATCTAGCAAGTTAATCAACATTCCAATAAAGTTATATTTGTTTTTGCTTTTATCTTTAATTGAACAATATAGTGCCAGGCCCCTAGCATATTAGTAAAGCTTCTAGTTTCTCTTTAACTGGAGAAAAATGTGTCATGTTTTATGTGATAATGCCACACCACCACACCATCTGCACCCCACTTTTCAAAATCCTAGATCTACCCTTGGATATACCACATTTCTCTTGCCAGCAGCCAGGCTTAGAATCTCTGCCCAGCCAGTCCTAGTCTTTCCCCTCCTGAATCTCAGATATAGTTCTGTCCAGCTCTTAGTCTCTACTTCAACTTCTTTGGCCACTCTCCTTCCACCCCACATTCTAGTCTCAGTTTTGTAGTCCCAGATTCCCTCTAGTTCCTTGCCCCAATCTACCTCCTGCTTTCCTAGATAAAACTCTTGTCTCCTCCACATGCTGATTTTGAAGCTTCCTCCTCTCTATTGCCTGAGCCTAATAGGGGAATCACTAAGAGTACAAAAGTGTATCTCCTCACTTTCAGTCAGGTGTCCAGACACAGGTCCATCTTGGCTGAGAGCAACCTAGAGCTGAAAATGCAGGGAAAGGCCTACTAATTTTCAGGACTGACCATGCTCAGTGAAGATGGTATCTTCAGGGAATTTAGCTGCCAAGAAGTATCTTTTGCATATGTGAGAACAAGTGATTTTTTTTTTCAGAGGTCTTGTAACTTGGCCAAATATAGATGTCATGAGACAGAAAGGCAGACATACTTGACAAAAAAGCCACCTCTCTGCCAAATTAAAATAAAAGAAATTTATAACCCAGGCTAGATGATGTACTAGCCACATTCCTGAAAACAATTGAATCTCTTTGGATACATTTTTTGAAAACATATTCACCCTCTGACAGATCCCTGACATGGAACATTTAAAATTTGGCAAAGTAATAAGCAACTTAAAATAGTCTTATAATGAAAAGCGTCAGGGAAACTTAATAGGCAGTGATATCAGCTTATAATATGTAATTACAGCATCATGCTTATATCTAGTTTTCATTTCTGTGTACCAGCCCAGTCATTCTATAACCTAAATTATATTAAAGAAAGGAAGTATATGGTGAAAAATCAGTTTCCTAAACTGCTTAGTCCTTCAGCATCTATTGCATATTTACATGGAAAAAATATCATTCAAATGTGCAATTGGGAGATCCAAGTACCCAAGTTGACTGAAGTGTTACTTAATGGGCAGCAGTCTAATTAACATATTGCTGGAAGGATGGTCTACCTGCCACACACAACTGTTCTGAAAGGCTCCAGGGGATTCAGGTAGCACAGATGAAGAGTGCATGCACTTGTTATTCAGCAGCACATCTGAAAGGAACATGTAAAGACTGCTTTGTCTATTATGCTGCCTTTTCAGACTGAGTTGATAATGCTAGTGTCGTTTTCAAGTGAAGCGTGTGCCAGATTACAGATAGCTAGTACTGGCATTTGAGAGCTGTTAATTGTGAAACTTGAGAAGAAAATGGGCACATTCTTTCTACGGCTGCTATTCAAATGATGGCCTTTTTATCCCAGAGCACTGTGGGTTTCACTTTTATTCTCTTCCCACATAAAATGCATGAAGTGCACTAAGGCTCTTTCACTTGGCAGTTTCTATATTGCATTCTTTGCAAGGGCTGCTTTGGCTGTTTAAAATGTGCCCCATGTATTAAAATGAAATTGTCCCTTCTGTGCGGTGCAACATAACATGGCTTGACACTAAGCGCCTGCAGCTACAGAAAACAGACTTTTATTGCATTTATTCTTTCAGAGACAAGAGTCTCTAAAGGCTCACTGCAGACATTCTCTCAGTTAAATCTGAATGAAGCCAAAGTGAACAATCTAAGTTGCTGTCTTTGTGCTTGTGGAAATGGCCCATCCCACATGATACGGCAGTGGAAACAGTGCTACAAAAGACTCCAACAGTTCGAACCCAGAAGGGGCAATTTTAATGCGTCCATTTGAAATAAACTAACAAAACTCTTGTCCTGCTTAGATTGTTAATCATCTTATTTTCTGCCTCGTGTTTTCCTAACGTTTGGCAAATTTTTGTACTAGGAGACATAATGTCCCTCTCAGCTCCAGTTTGAGACCCTGGAGAATATGTATGCTCTGTAGGCTACATGTTATTTTTTCTTCCTAACAAGCCTGTGGAAAGAGTTTGTTTATGAACTCATTTTAAAAGGGCCTTGACTTGTAGGAATGAAGTAAAAATTAGGTCAGAGAAGTCTTCTAGCTTGGAGAACACCTAGATCAGATCCAAACTAAAAGAAGAATATTGAAAATTATTTTTCAGAACAGCTTTCCTAGGGAAAAAAAGTAATGATTATAGAATTCTTTCTGCTTATTTAACCATTTCCCCCTTGTCTTCCTCCCTAAAGTGCTTATATATTTCTTAAAGTGCTATAAATTTGCCCCAGCGTTATAGTCTTTATAACAACTTAAGTCACACAGGTGCTAGCTCATTATTATTAATAGCTTTAATGCTTTGATGCTATAAATATTTGCAAATCACAGTTCACAATGCTATGAAGTGAATGATGAATTGTGTAATAATGTCTTATTTCCACCCAGGGAGGCAGGAACTGAACCCATGTAATGTACAGTTATAAATGTATTTTGTTTCATATTCTATTATGTTCATATTAGGGGTATGCGAAGCGGGCTGTATTCTATTCGGATTCAGCCCGAATCAGGGACAGTGATTTGATTCGTTGATTTGGATCATTGTCCCTGATTCAATTTGGCCAAATCCAAATCTGAATATTTGATGCTGATTCAGAGAATCATCGATTTGGCCATAGACACAGCTTTAAATGTTTTTTCTACATACCTTGAGGTACCAGCGTGGCTTGTGAATGCTGTGATGCTGGGGCGCATGGAGCGTCCCACAGGAGTGTGGAGGGGCCCTCCACATGCTCAGCAGCAAACCTGGAAGTCCTCTAGGGAGTGTGCAGGGGCCCCCTAGCACCCCCCTGGCTCAGCAATCAGCCATGGGGAGACCCTGGCTGCCCCCCCAGACCCAGGAGGCACCAGTCACCGAGCCAATGGGCATGGGGGGGGTTGGCCAATGCACTCCTCGTTGGACCCGAAAGTGGACCAGAAGTGCTTCTGGTCCGCTTCCAGGTCTGCTGAGGAGCCCCCCGTGCTTCTGTGGGATGTTCCATCCGCCCCAGCACCTCAGCATTCACAAGCCCCTGCTACCTAGAGGTATGTAGAAAAAACATTTAAAGCTGTGCCTATGTCCGAATCGCTGAATCTTTCTGAATCTCTCCAAATTGATTCAGAGGCTTCCGATTCGATTCAGAGAGCTGAAAGGGTCCTCTGATTCAATTCGTATTCAGAGATTCGGCCATCGAATTGGGCCAAATGTCTGCCGAATCAAATCAGGAACCACAGCTTTGGACAACGCTTGTTCTTATGTCTTTATATTCTGAAATATTATCTTTCAAATCCTGTCTTCTTATCATGCCCTTTGGGGAAAATTTGGGTGCATAAGAAATTTGAAAGCAAGTCTTCCCAACATGCTCCCAACAGTATAAAAATGTCCTTGTTCAGGTGGCTCCTGTTCATAGTCACCACCACAACCTGTACACAGCCAGGACTGCAGCAACAGTCATTGAGGGAGGCAGGCTCTTATTGCTAACTGCACTGTATTGTAATAAGTTACTACACCAGTTTCTCTGCAGCATTCAGCTAGAGCAGCTTTAGCGTTTCCTCTCCACATCTGTGTAGCTTCTTTATTTGCTGACTGCACATTTTCATAGAACTCTAATAACAATTATTGCTTCCCTTCTTCCTCCTATTCTTTTGCAGAATGGAGTCTACAGAAAAATGTGAAGTAGTAATTCAACATTTCAATGGAAAATATCTGAAAACCCCACCTGGTGTACCAGGTAGGTTTTGCTGTTACTTCTTCAGTGAAATAACATAAATGTTCCCATATTATGTTAATTGATTTAGAACACAGGAGTGCTGGCATATGTGCTTGGAATTGCAGTATTACAGGATTCCTGTCACCTTTCAGGCTCAGAAGATTCACGTCATTTGTGACCTGTGATTATTTTTGTTGTTGGCGTTCGTTTTCTACCAGTTCTGTTTAATTTACAGTATTTCCTTGCCCGAGTTAGTACTACATGAGGATTTATACTTGACAGAAAGAATTTTAAGTAACTTCTGTAATAATTTTAATTAGCCATATATATTTTTCATATTCAATGTGTGGATTTTATGTGACACTTTCAATCTGGGTGAACATTGTAAAAACCTAGGAATATAACAGCTATTAGATGATTTGAAGAGTAATTCAGCAACTCATGTAGACTAAAATATTTTAATTGCCTCTATTTCAGGTCATTCATGTCCTCTTTAATACTTGCATCTGTTACTTAGTTTATCTGTATTATAAAATATTTTGATTACCATTTGTTTTTGTCATAGCATCATAAAATCCTATTGTTTTCTATTAAAAGAAAGAAACATATCCTAATGGTATGTTTTCAATGGTGTGCATGTGCCACATATAAAGCCCCACCTTAAGCTTTTATATGCTAGCAGAAGTTTCACCATCACAGACCCTAGTTCTCATGGGGAACTTCAGTCTTCCTGACATCTTCTGTGAGGGCAGTACAGCAGTGCACAGGCCACCCAGGAAGTTTTTTGGTGAGTATTGGAGAAAACTTCCTGGTGCAAGTGTTGGAGAAGCCAACTAGAAGCCAGGCTCTTCTTGACTTGTTGCTTACAAACAGGGAAGAATTGGTGGGGAATGTAGAAGTGGATGGCAATTTGGGCAGCAATGACCACGAGATTATTGAGCTGAGGGTCCTGAGGAAAGGAAAGAAGGAGAGCAGCAGAGTAAGGACCCTGGTCTTCAGAAAAGTGGACTCCAAATCACTCAGGGAAGGATCCCCTGAGTAGGTAGGATGGGCAGGATCCCCTGGGAAGCCCATCTGAGGAGGAAAGGAGTCCAGGAGAGCTGGTGGTGCTTTAAAGAAACTTTACTGAGGGTGCAAGAATCAACCATCCCAGTGTGCAGGAAGACTAGCAAGTATGGCAGATGAACAGCTTGGCTTAGCAGGGAAATCTTCAGTAATCTAAAGCATGAAAAGGAAGTTTACAAGAAGTGGAAACTTAGACAAATGACTAGGGAGGAGCATAAGTGTATTGTTCAGGCATGCAGGGTTGAAATCAGGGGGTGTTCGTACATGTGATGATTGTCACCATGTACACGTGACAAAAGTTTCCTTTGTGTGGCTTAATAGCATCACACATTACACATGCTCAAGGTTTGGGGGTTTCAAATGAGTTTGCAACATTGAAAACTAAACCACATCCCCAAGTAGTTTAGTTTGCAACCTTTCTACTTGTAGCGTTGCAGCCTTTAATCTGACAGCTCTCCCACGGGCCACGGAAGTGGTGAGCAGGCTCCATTGAAAAAAAAGGTTGGGCCCCTTGCCACTTCTCACTTTAGCAAGGAGGGGCCTGATCCTTTTTTTTTTTTCCCAGAGCCTGCCTTGCCTGCAGCTGGGGGGCAAGCTGCAAGGGTGGGGAGGGAGGGTGGCAGTTCTTCCCTCTGTGTGGGCTGCTAGCAAGCAGATGCTGTCCTGGCTTGGAGGCAGCACCTAGCCTGATCCAACTCTTCCCTGAACCCAAGCTAGGGTAGCACCCAGCCTGCTCTGCCACCCGGGACCAGCTAGGAACAGGCTGGCTTGCCTCTGAGCCAGCATGGGAAGGCAGCAGGAGGGCATCTGGGTGTGCTGACAGCCAGAGAAGGTGGTGGAAAGGTGCACGGAGATGCTGGAAGCTTGCCAAGCCTGAGCTTTCCCGAGCCTACCTGGGCTTCCAGTGCCCCATGCACCATCCCTACCACCTTCTTCAGCCACCAGCAAACCCAGCTGCCATCCTACTGCCTTCCCACACTTCCCCAGGGGCAAGTCAACCCATTCCCAGGTGGCCCCAGGCATCCTGCCAGCTGCAGAACCCTGCTTTCAAGTAGAAGCAGTGAGGGGCCCGATCCTTGGTGTTGCAGAGCATTCTCACCCCAACACTCAAGGCCAGGGGGTAAGCTGAGCCCCGCTGGCCAAATGGGTCAAGTGGCTTCTGAGCTGCAGGGCCAGTGGGCAGGTCCTGCCCTCTGCAGCAGTGACACCCCCGAGGCTGCTAGTGGGCCAGATGCTGCCCCAGCTCAGAGACAGCACCTGGCATGATCCAGTTGTTCCCTGAGTCTGCCTGGGGAGCGGCTTCCAGTGGGTAGGCTCAGGAAACAGTTGGATCAAGCCAGGTGCTCCTTCTGAGCTGGGGTAGCACCCAGCCCACTAGAAGCCCACCCAGGAGGCCCTGGGGACGGGGGTGCTGCCACCACAAAAGGAAGGAATGGGGGCCCCCATAGCTCAGGGGCCGATCAGCCTGCCGGCAGTTTACCTCCTGGCTGCAGGCAGGCTCTGGCTCCTACCAAAAAAAAAAAAAAGGATCAGGCCCCTTGCCATAATATGATGGAAATATTGAAATGGTTTGTCCTCAGGCTTTTATTCTATTCCCCACTCTTTAATTTAGGGGGCACAGAATAAAACCTTGGGGATTAGCCCCCTGTCACAAGTGGCCAGGAAGGCCAAAGTGCAATTAGAGTTGCAGCTACTAAGGAATATGAAGCGTAACAAGAAGAGTTTCTACAAGTATGTCAGCAACAAAAGGAAGATCAGGGAAAGTGTGGGCCCCTTACTGAATGGGGAAAGTCAACCTGGTGACAGAGGATGCAGAAGAGGATGGAGTACTTGGTGCAATTTTCACCTCAGTCTTCCCAGACAAAGTCAGCTCCCAGGCTGCTACACTGGGCAGCACAGTTTGAGGAAGAGGTGAGCACTAGACAGTGGTTGAAATAATAGGTTAGGGACTCCTTAGGGGCTGGATGTGATGTGCCCAATGATGCTGAGGGAGTTAGCTTATGTTATTTCAGAGCTACTGGCCATGATTTTTGAAAATTCATGGCATTCAGGAGAGGTCCCAAATTGGAAAAGGACAAATATAGCGCCCATCTTTAAGAAGGGGAAGAAGGAGGATCCAGAGTACTACAGGCCTGTCAGCCTCACCTCAGCCCCTGGAAAAATCATGGAGCAGATCCTCAAGGAATCCATTTCTAGGCACTTGGAGGAGAAGGTGATTAGGTACAGTCAGCATGGTTTCACTAAGGGCAAGTTGTGCCTGACCAACCCAATTGCCTTCTCTGATGAGATGACTGGCTCTGTAGATGTGGGAAGAACAGTGGATGTAATATATTTTGATGTTAGCAAGCCTTTTGATAAGGTCTCCCACAACATTCTCACAAACAAGCTAAAGGAAGTAGGAAGTATGGTTTGGATGAGTGGACTGTAAGCTGGATAGAAAACTGGCTGGATTGTCTGGTGTAGAGGGTAGTAATCAATGGCTTGCTGTGTAGTTGGCAGCCGGTACTAAGTGGGGTGCCCCAGGGGTCAATCCTGGGGCTGATTTTGTTCAATATCTTTATCAACAACCTGGAAGATAGCATTGAGTGCATCCTCAGCAAATTTGCAGATGACACCAAGCTGGAGGGTTGGGCTAGAATTCAGAGAGACCTTGACCAATTGGAAGAATAGACTGAAGGAAATCTTATGAGATTCCATAAGGACAAGTTTAAAGTCCTGCAAGTTTAAAGGACCCATGCACCAGTACAGACTAGGGGCCGACTGCTGGGCAGCAGCTCTGCAGAAAAGAACCTGGGTTTTACAGTAGACAATAAACTGAATACGAGTCAGTAGCGTGCTCTTGTTATGAAGAAAGCTAATGACATACTGGGCATGTCTACATGTGCCCCTGACTACGCACTTGGTACTGCACAGTCCCGTGGTACACAGTTATTTTTAGACACTTTGTCGTCGTAGCGACAAGCTATGGCAATATAGCGTCTTGTGTAGATGTTCCCACTGGGCTGCTTTAGTAGGAGCATTGCCAGCAGATCTAGGGAAGATCTATCCCTCTGTTCAGCACTGGTGAGGCCACATCTGGAGTACTGTGCCCAGTTTTGGGGCCTTTGCTATAGAAAGGATGTGCACAGATTGGAGAGAATCCAGTGGGGGACAATAAAAATAGTTAGGGGGCTGGGGTACATGACTTCTGAGGAGTGGCTGAGGGAACTGGGCTTATTTAGTCTGGAGAAGAGAAGTCTAAGAGGGGATTTAATAGCAATCTTCAACTACCTGAAGCGGAGTTCAAAAGAGGATGGTGCTGGACTGTTCTCAGTGATGGCAGATGACAGAACAAGAAGCAATGGTCTCCATTTGCAGCAAGGGAAGTTTAGGTTGGATATTGGGAAAAACTTTCTCACTTCGAGTAGTAAGGCACTGGAACAGGTTACTCAGAGAGGTTGTGGAAACTCCATCCTTGGAGGTTTTTAAGACCCCGCTAGACAAAGCTTTGCCTGGGGATGTTGGGATGGTCCTGCTTTGGGGATCTAGTTGGAGATGGTCCTGCTTTGAGGAGGGGGTTGAACTAGGTGACCTTGTGAGAGGTCTCTTCCAACCCTAATTTTCTATGTTTCTGTGCCTGACCTGTAGTATACCCTATAGGTATATAGGCACTAAAGAGTAATAGTGATCTCAAAAAGACTTTTGCTATTGCAAGAGCAGCCCTGTGGACATAGGACTGGCATAATAGCTATATATTACCTCCTCCTTCTCAGCTCCCACAGTGGGAGTAGGGAAACTGAAAGCAAGACTAGAAATAACAATATAGTTTGCAAACTGTGATAGTCCCTGGAACAGATTCATGGGAGATTTAAAGATAGTTAAAGCCATATTTCCAACCCAACTCTTCCTTTCTCCATACTGTGCCCCAGTGTTTTAACATAGCATAGCAGTAAATATAACAGTTATTGTTTGATTTT